AAAGTGAATTTAAAAATCTTAAATTTAAAAAAAAAGAATCTGAGATAGGAACTGGTGGGCTCAGAGGGGAAATGCCGGTGCCAGTGGAATACCCCAGACACGTTCTGGTTCTCATTGTTCTGGAAAAGCGGGAGGGGCAGGGGGCGGAGCTGATGTGGGCACCAGGGCCTCTGGAGCCCAGCAAACTGGAGTGGGATGTGTTCTAGATGGTGATTTGCGGGCCTGGCTCATCCAGGCGACACACCCGAAGGCCACTGTGTTCCCAAGCCAGTGTGCCCACGGGGGTCTGAGTTGTGGTCCTGGCTGACAGACGCCACCTCTGTGAGAGGGGAGGGAAACCGTGCCCACAGGACAGAGTGGCCGGCCCCTGACCTCAGACCTCCAAGGTTCTGCCTCATGCTGGCCGGAGGCGGGGCGGGGGCGGGGCACCCTGGCTCCCTGCTGGGGAGCCCTCGTGGCCATCCATCACTCCCCGCCCGCAGATCATTCTGGGATGATTAAATTAGCGGATGCAATCACGATCTGAAGCAAGTTAATTGAGAGAATTTATTTGGGCCTGACAGTTTTATGCATGTTTGATTAAGTATTATACGGTTGGTTTTTGATTTCGCATAATTTAACCCTAAATTCTGCGCTGGGGGGCCCATCAACCACAACGACCAAAATAAACCTCTTTTAAGTTGCATCTCTTTATAATGTATTTCTGAGTGCAGTGTCTTCTGGGTTGTTTTTGGTGCTGTTGTCGAAGTGACAAATACACATGTTAAAGTCACATTGTGAGCCATTGCATTTACCCCTTAAATCTTCCACGATGTGTGCAATTCATTAAAAGTCTTTATTGCTGCAAGCGGCATATCTGTGCGTGATTGTCTTCCAGCGCTCGGTGAAATGCATGCGGCTGGCCGGGTTCCTGGGAGGCAGACAGATCGCCCACACCACGCGATGACGGCTCGGCCACAGATCTTTTCTCCTGTCATCACGGCTCTGCTCAGTCACCAGGGGACAAGCTGTGCCTTCTGTGGAAGTTGCACTGGGGATGCAGACGGGGGCCGTGAAAGGTGAGCGCCACCGATCCAGGTGAGCGCCAACCCTGAACACAAGCTTTTCGTGGCCCCGTCATGGCCCAGGGCTGGGCTTTAGGAGAGGCCATGTCCATTAAACGGCAGGGCCTGCTGCCCGGGAGAGGCCAGAGCCACCCAGAAGCCGGGCCGTGTGGCCTCCTCCTCATCACCGAGCAGGGCTGGGGTCCAGGTGCCGTCTGGCTCACAGAGAAGGCTTCAGGCTTCGGAGGTGAAGCAGTTCACCGGCGCCCAGAGCGGCCTGCTGCGGCTTTGATGGGGGGGAGACACCATTCCGAAATGAGGGCAAATCTGCAAACTATGAGCTCTGACCCAGACGCTTCAGACAGTCCCCAGCACCACTCACAAAGCCCGAAGGCGTAGGTCCACTTTCCCCCACGGCCGCATCCTGCCCTGTGCCCAGGCCGTTTGCGTGGGGCGCAGGCTGGGCCTAGCTCCAGTCATACCACGGGCGTCACTGGCAATGCCAGGCTGAGGCCTGCTGGTCTCCAATGGCCTCCCCCCCTTTTTCAAAGCCCAGCACCGGGCAGGCCCTTTGGTCGGTCCACCCAACCAACAGCACTGAGCCCTGCTGTGGGCCAGGACCAGGGGCCAGGAGTTGTTTGTCCTCAGGAGCTTCTGTTCCAGAAGGGTGGGGCAAGCTGGGCAGTGGGGCATCCTCCCTGCCCCGAGTGACCTTGCTGCGAGAGAGCGACAAGCTCCAGCCAGTCTTGGACTTGGTAAGATTGGGGAGAGCCAGTGGCTGGAAAGAGAAAGAGAGGAGAAGCAGGTGGGAGGGGAGGCACTCCCTCGCTTCAACCACCTCACAGGTGCAGCTCACCCAGGAAACAGAGGACCGGGCCCCAGATAGAGAGGGGTGTGGCCAGAGCCAAACCAGTGTGGGGGGCGTGGTTACGAGAATTTGAAATTACATGTTGCTCTGCTCAAACCATCTGGACATGGGATGGCCACCCCAAATTCAGAATCAGGGTCCCTGGGGCGTGGACCCAGCAGGACAGACAGTGCCTCAAGGCTCTGTCCTGTGGGGCACTGGGGCTCATCTGGGAAGCCTCTAATCCATGAGTGACCCAAAGGGCTGAGGCCAAAAATGCCGGGGGCTCCTCCTCTCACGGGTTTGACTCTGGCTGCAACACCAACAGGCAGGCTTCAGCTCCTGGTGCTGTCCACCAGGGCCTCCCCCACCTGCCCTCCTACACACCCGACATGTCTCCAACATGACCCCCAATGCCCCCAGGCGCCTTCCACGTGGCCCCCGTGTGCCCAGCAGTGCCCCTACCTGGCCTCTTGCTTGTGCCCCCACAACCCCCATGTGCTCCCTAACTTCCTGCCACGTGACAACCCACATGGTCATTACCAGCCCCCTGCTGATCCCCACAGAGTTCCCCTTCACATGCCCTTCGTGTGACACCCTCGCGTGCCCTCTCCTTCATGCCCACCACACGCCCCTCTCACTACGGCGATGGGTGCAGCAAAGGAGCGTCCAGGAGGCCGCCGTGGATGCCATACAGCTGCCCGTGACCCCACCTGGGAGATTACGGGCATCCCTGGGGCCTCAGAATCTGGTGACTAAAGCAACCCAAGGCCTTCGAGGTCAGTGCAGGGCCATTTATGAGGCGGCATCTCTGCACCAGTGAGCAGAGGGATGGAAGGTGGGGGGTGCTGGGCTCAGCGAGGATAAATGTCTCTTTACAGCCAGTCAACAAACTTTCCCGAGAGGCCAGAGTCAGGGTTTCTGGATCTGCAGGCCATTGTGTGACTGGGGGTGTCTCATCTCGGCCATGGCAGCTGAAAAGCAGCCACAGACAACTGGGGAGTGCTGGGATTTGGCCCAGGCACCCTAGTTTACCCCTGGACTCCAAGACCCACTCCATCCTCCTGGGGTACCCCACCGCGGGCTCTGCATGCACGGTCCCAGCAGGTGGCGCCAGGCCGCTACCAGAGACTCCGAGGCTCAATGGGAGGACTGGGCTGACCTGGGACTGACCTGGGGGAGGGGACCCCTAAGAGGACGGAGAGCAGATGGGATCACCCAGCTCCAGGGCAACCTGCATCAGGGCAAGCCTGTGACCAAACACAGCATGGCCCAGGGGCCGCCACGGAGCTGGCCCGAGGACACAACCCTATCTTCAGGTCGCCTGATGGACGGTGGGTGCTGCAGGTGGCTGTCATCCAGCGCTTGGGCAGAGTGTGTGGTCAGAAGTTGTTGTGTAAGTCCCCAGAGCTATTTAAAATGTGCACATGTGGACTGCGTGACAAGGCAGAAATGCATCTTTTCGAGGGAAGAAAGCAGCTGGTGGGAGAGACAGTTGTAAAGGAATGCTTGCAGCTTCGGGGGTACAGGAAGGGTAGGATGGAGTTAGAACCCTCCCAGCAGGGGCAGGAGGAGCTGGATAAGGGCTGGCACCTGACTGGCGGCCACCTCCCAGAGAAGGGGATACGTGACCCGGGTTTTGAAGGTTACGTAGGAGCTCGGCAGGTGGAGGAGCGACTGAGGAACAATACAGAAAAGTATGCAGGGGCAAGTCACGGACTGGAACAGCGATTTTCAACTGTTCCCATCTCATGACACACATAAACCAATCGCTAAAATTCTGCAGCCCACCAAAAAAAAAAAGTATTTTTTGTAGATCTGACCAAAAATAGGTACAATTTTGATGCATTCACACCACACTGCTATTGCTGTGTTGGCTTTTTTTTTTTTTTTTTTTTACAATCTAAGGGAAAAGAGGTCAGTGCTCCTGACTAAATTGTGAGGTGTTGCATGTTTTAAAAATCCTTGCAGCACAGGGGTTGAAATCCCTGGGCTAGTGCAACGGGGCTTCATGGAGCTGAGGGGGAGCCTGCTTGTGATGTCACACGGGGACAGGGCTGGGAAAGCTACCACTGCCAGGTGGCCGCAGAGCAGGGGGCTAGTGCAGAGACCCTGCCTGCAGAGAAGATGCCTTTTAAGAAACAGTTCCTAAAAGGTCCCCTTCCCCCTCATCCTCTCCCGTTACTACTTCACCGCTGCTCTGGACACTTTCAAAAAGGCCTCCAGCTTTGGGCTTCCACCCCTTCTCTCTCCATCTGACCCTACCAGACCCTCCTCACCAGCAGGGTAGGAGCTGAAGGGCCAGTTCCACACAGTCCTTCCCACAGTCCCCAGGGCAGGGACTGGATGTGAGCAGGCTGGGGTCAGTGCTCAACCAGGTGACATACAGGCCCTTGGCCCTTGCGGTTGGGGACAGACAGCCACTCGCACATGGGTGAAATCTGCACAATCTCGAACGTGATAGAATTTAGGGGAATGGAACGTACTAGCAACATACAAGGGGAAGTGTCTCTCTATCCTGGCACCTCTGTGGGATTAAAATATTTAAAGCTCTCCGCATAAAAATCATCATCCTGCCCTGCCTGGTGGAGCTCAGTGGATTGAGCGCGGGCCTGCGAACCAAAAGATCACGGTTCGACTCCCAGTCAGGGCACATGCCTGGGTTGCACATACCTGGGTTGCAGGCCAGTTGCCAGCAGGAGACTCACGAGAGGCAACCATATATTGATATTTCCTCCTTTCCTTCCCTTTCTCTCTAAAAATAAGTAAGTAAAGTCTTTTTAAAAAACCCACAACTCTTTTAAAAAATCATCATTCTCTCTGGAAAGGGCAACCCCGGAGCTTGTGGGTGTCTGCCAAACGCCCCTCCAGACCACCCCGGACTCCGGCCCTCTGCAGTAGCGCTCCGAGTGGCAGTCTCTCCGGCCCGCCCCCTCCATGTGTCCGCGAAGCAACAGCATTCCCACATCTGTCCACCCGGGCGCGCAACTGCGTACTGCCAACAGCTTCGAACGCTGCGGCGCGTGCGCGGAGGAGCTGTCCCGAATCCGCACGCGCAGACTCACTGTGCGCCGGCGCAGAACCAGCTAAGGCGCCAGGGGTGTGTGTCAGTTAACGTCATAGGGCGAGCGCCAGGCACGCACGCACGCCGAGGGGGAAACGTCGAGTTCCGGGTGTTCAGAGTCGACCCCAAACGGGGGGGAAGGGTGGTGTTCTCGGTGTCGGAGTGGGCGGAGGGGCGTGAGGAAAGTCCTACGGTGGCCGCAGAGGGACGGCGCTACGGCTCCCACGCTGGGCCAAACGCCGCCGGCCTCCGGCCGCCGGAGCCCCTGGCCCTTCGGGGCAGGTGGGGACGTGTGAGGCACCGAGCTCCGCAGCCACCGCGCCGTCGGCACCATGCGGCTGCCCTACTCCTGGAGCCCCGAGGGACAGGGGGGCTCGCAGGCCGGGACGCCGGCGCGGAGAGGGCACCCGGTGAGCTGGTGGGCATGGGTTGCCCCGGGCGTCTCCAGGGCCGCGGACAGGGGGGTTCCCCGGGGATTCCGGCGGGTGGGTTCTTCCCTTGTGGTCGCCAGTTCCCCCAGAGGCAAGCGGGCAGAGCTGCCTTGTGCCCAGGATGCATTGATCCGGGACTCGGTGCCACTTATGCGGCCGATTGCCTTGGTGACTTGGGGCCTGGGGCCGGTGGCGAGATGGAGCCTCCCTGGGTCGGGACTGTGAGTCTCGGCCTTGTCCACCTGCTCCGACCTCTACGCTGGTGGCACGGATACTTGGTGTACCAGGAGGTGCTTGCCTCCGGGCCAGGTGGCGATCAGAGGTGGGCCACGTCTCCGCAGCGTGCAGGGAGTGAAGGGCGGCTGTCAAGCAACCGACCCTCTCGACAGCACCGACTGCCTGAATGCCATTGGCTGAGCCCGTAGTGAAGCCTGGATGGAGTAGCTCTGAGCCTCGGGAGCTGCGGTGAGGCCAGATTCTGGCCAAACCCTGTGGGAAGGGCTGGGCCTGCGGGGCAGAGGAGGGGTGGACGCTCGGCCTCCCACTCCCCGGCCCCAGGTGGGACCAGAGCTTGGGCAGCCATTTGTTCTCACTGGTGGCGGGAGAGGGAGTCCCTCCTTCTGAAGGGAGGCAGACCCCCAGCAGTTTCCCGGTAACCCGCAGCCAACTTTGCTGCTTCGACTAGACACGTTCTGGTCTAACAGCTCTGCATTTCCTTCCACAGACCTAGGCAAGCTTCCCATGGCAGTTACCTGGTAAAACTAAAGGGCCCTTGCTGCTTCTCCCCCTGCGGCCCAGTTGGTAGGGGAGAAGCATCTCTTCTGGGACACGGGACACCCCAGCCTGCCAGGCATGGTGGCTTCCTAGTCTGTGGCACCTGCCTCCCACCACACCCCTGAGAGCAGCGCTGTGGGCATCCCCGTTTTGCCGAGCTTCCTAGTTCCTGGCACCTGGGTGTCTAGTTGCTGATGTGCACTGCTCCGCATGCACCCTGTGCCCTCCCCATTCTGGTCCCGCGGTGAGATGTTGCTGAGGGGCTTTCTTCACCCTGTAGAAAGCAGCCTGAGGTAGCCAGGCAGGGCTGGGGCACCCAGACCAACGCAAAGCTCGTGGGAGAGCAAGTTAGCCAGGGCTCCTGGTGGTCTGCTTTGGTTTCAGCACTGGCTGCCTCCAGGGGGACCCCCAACCTCAGTCCTGGCCCTTCCTCCCCATCACGGGTGGATTAGCTCTTTTGGTTTCTCTTCCCACGGGTGGATTGTGAGTCCCTTTCAAGTTGGTGGCAGAACTAATATCCTAGGCTTGGTTTCACTGTCCCTGAAGGCCTATGTGCCCTGGGCAGGAATGTGCCCGGGATGCACTCTCGCCACCTCTTGGGCTGACTCGGCTTCTCTGTTGCTCTTCTGCAGGCCCAAGCCTCCCCCGGGGCTCAGCTGTGGGCTCCTGGGCCTAGGTGCCCATGACACGTGCGCTGACTGCCACCCGGAAGCCGCCTCTGCTGCGAGCTAGCGCCGCCGCCCAGGCCCCAATGCCGGTCATGCCCATCCCGAGGCGGGTGCGCTCCTTCCACGGCCCGCACACCACCTGCCTGCACGCGGCCTGCGGGCCCGCACGCACTTCTCGCCTGGCGCGCACCAAGTACAACAACTTCGACGTGTACGTGCGGGCACGTTGGCTGTACGGCTTCATCCGCTTCCTGCTCTACTTCAGCTGCAGCCTCTTCACAGCCGCGCTGTGGGGCGCGCTGGCTGCCCTCTTCTGCCTGCAGTACGTGGGCGTGCGCGTCCTGCTGCGCTTCCAGCTCAAGCTATCAGTGCTGCTGCTGCTGCTGGGCCGCCGGCGCGTGGACTTCCGCCTGCTCAACGAGCTGCTAGTCTACGGCATCCATGTGACCATGCTGCTGGTCGGGGGCCTGGGCTGGTGCTTCATGGTCTTCGTGGACATGTGAGCGCGCTGCGGCCTGCTCCGGGCTTGGTTCCCAGGACTGTGGGGTCGACCCGCCTCTTCTTGAGGCAGGTAGGTCAGGGCCCTTGTCTGTCACTCTCCATCTGGCAGATGGGTCTCTGCCTGGGCCAGGAACAGGCGGAGACTTCTGCGAGGGGGGCGCTGCGCCCTCCCATCCGCCCGATCTCTCTCCTGCGTCTCCTGTGTGTGCTCAGGCACAATGTCATCCTGGCCACCTCCCTGTGCTTCCAGCCTGCACTTTCCAGGCCATGCTGTGTCCCTGGCCATTCTCCAGGACACTGGAGAGATGTGCAGCCCAGGGGCAGATCTGGAGGGGGTCCTCCTGGCGGTGCACCCGGTCCCTGCCCTGGGGGAGCATCAGGTTCCATTCACCACACTGCCACCAAGCTGTTCACCCTGCCCTCTGCCACCCCAGTCCAGGCATAGCCCGCAGGCCCTCATCCGCCTGGCACCCTGTGATGTCAGTCCCAGGGTGGTCTTCAGGGTCGCCTTGGTTTGTGCAGACGCAGTCTGCCAGGCATCACAGCCTCAGCGGGGTCCGGCCCAGGGCAGGCCTGTCTTCCTCCTGGGCAGGTCTAAATGAGGGTTTCTGGGAAGGCAACGCAGTTCCTTCCTGGCTTTGGGGGGTACTTTTGGTCTCTTTTCCTGTGAGGAGACACCCGGAGTTGAGACCTAGGTGTCTGGAACAGAGGTCAGAGGTGGTGGGAGGCACCCTTGAGTGTGCGCCGCAAAACCTGGGCAGACCCTGCATTTCAAAGCACCTCCCGGAGTCGAGGCTGCGGCCCAGGGCTGGGTTTCTAAGCTGGGGCTCAGCTGCCCCGTTGCTCTCGCCTTTGCAACTGTTGGTGTGAAAAGCAAAAATAAACACGGCCAGGAAAGAGCAAAGGGCTAGTGGTCTGGGGGCGGCCTTGGTTGCAGGGAACACTCTGCAGAGGCATCTCGTCCAGATCCCTCACTCTGGCCTTCTGTCTCAGGGGGACAGGGTGGCACAGTGGGCCTCCTCAGCCAGGGAGAGGGCACTCTGAATAATTGTGCTGGGACAGCAGACAGACACTGGCCCAGGATATAGGGCCACTGCTGCTACACCCCAGGTCACCCCATACCCCCCAGGCATGGGCAGTGGTCCCCGGGGGCACTTTCAGGACTGTTTGTGCCACTGGAAGAAAACCCAAATCAGGGGGAGAGAGAGTAGAGACCCTTGGCTGTGACCACGCCACAGTCCGGAGTCAGCCGTCGGACGGCTGTCCGTGGAGGGGCTCCCCTGGGCGGCACGAGCTGCATGTCTGAGACCCGGACAGCAGTGAGGGGCCAGCCCGAGGGGACCCCACTTCTCTGCGCTGCAGAGTCTTTTGCACTAGGTCACGCTGGTTCCTAAAAGCTTTGTTTGTGTTCAGTAGCTCACCTCGCTCAGATCCCACGGAGCCCACTGGCCTGGGCGGGCGTGTGTCCACGCCATCGGGATGGTGGGAGGGGTCGGCTGTGCGCCGCCCGAATGTCCGCCTGGCAGTACCGGGAGCTGACACGCTCGGTGTGCAGCTGCTCGGGGGCTCGAGTGCCTGTGAATTCTTTAGGAAATGAGCCACCTGCATTAAACTTATTTTTTTAACGCATTGATGGAGTGATTTCTTGGAGCTCATCGTTTATTCCTTTTTTTCCCCCTAAAAATATTAACAACCAAAACCGAGTAAAATTGGGCACATTTTGAAGCAGTTATCAAAATTCTGGGACAGAGGTGGCGGACTGCAGACGGGATCCATGGTGGGAGCCTGCCCCGTGGGTGGGGGGTGCCGTGAGGGCTGAATTCAACCAACAGACGGCGCCCTCCCGACCAGGGAGTGGGAAGGCTGCACCTGGGCCTGGAGCAGGCGGCCTCCTCTAGGGCCAGTGCACGTGTGTGGGAACAGAGGCAGAGAACCGATGAAACAGGAGGGACACGTGAAGGTTTCCTTGGCTCCTGGGTAGGGGACAGCACAGTGACAGGCGATAGCCGTCAGAGCAGCCCCATGGCCAGAGAGCGTCCTCAGGAGGGAGACAGCTGTCCCCAGCAGCCTGGCTGTTCTTTCTGCACTTACAGGGAGCTGAACGTTTCAGAAGAAAACCCTGACCAGTTTGGGGGCCCAGCGTCTGATGGCAGAGTTGGTGATGTCCCCACAGAGTCCTTGGTGTCCGAAGCAGCAGAGGCGGCGAGTAGAGCTGCGAGAGATGCTGCTTCCCAGGCCTGCCTCACCCATGACCTCGGTGGGCGCAAGCCGCACCCACGGGAGGGCCCTCGCCATGTGTGCTCACCCTGGGGTGGCGGGGGCCTGGCCACTACCGTCCCAGGCTGGTCCTCTGGCTGCACTGTGTACCCCCACCCGGCTTTGCCTTGTTTTCAGGGGCTTGGGGCGGCTTCCTGGGTGGTCAGCTAAGTCGGTGCTGGCCAGCGTGGGAGTCACCAGCCCCACAGGGCCCCTGAGTTCAGGGACCAGGCTGCTGTGGCCGAGCAGCTAAGGTCTGAGGACGTGGCCACATGTGGCCCAAAGTCACCTTACTGGCTGGGATCTGGTAGCTGGATTATAACTTTTGTGGTGACAAGCCACTCTGTCCTCTTCGCTGATTGAACCTGAGGTCCCCTGTGTGACAGCCACCATTTTTAAAGATGACATGCAGATGGTCAATCAGGGACTTGCACAGAACCTGGTCCCCTACCCCAGGTTCCCTGCAAGTCCCTGACTGACCATTCTGCATGTCAATGCAGATGCTCCATCACTAGATCCAGTGATGCTCCAGTTACCAGTTAGGGATCCACCCTGCGTGGCCCTTGGGGGGCTACCCCAGCAGCCGCAGCAGCAGCTGGGCCTCTGCCCAGAGTGGGAGTCCTGGCCCGGCTCCCTGGGACATGGCATCAGCTGAAATGCCACCCAGCAGATTTACTTCTCACTGTGGAAATGACCGGTGTGACAAGAGGCTTCTGGAGGCTCCCGGGGCCGGGGACCGAGCCGGGGCAAAACCAAGAATGAAGAGTGTGAGACTCAGCGAGTGCTAGGGGCTCGGGCTGGTCTAGGAGGCTGGGTTCGTCCAAGAGGCTTCCAGCCTCAGCAGCTGCCCTTCCTCACCCCCCAGGGGCCCCAGTCTGCCACTGAAGTAGAGAGGTGATCAGGAGAGCTGGCAGGTCCGACCGAAGTGACGAGGGTCAGGTGAGGAGGGCCACAGTGCACAGCGGGACACGCAGGTGTGTGAAGCCAGCACTGGAAGCCAGGGGAGTGCCACCTGGCGGTGACATCACCTGGATGGTGGTGGCACTGGGCTGCTGTCAATTTGGGATCAGGACCCGGAGGGCAGAGGGTGGGCAGGTGGGAACCCGACTCTGCACAGGGACCTCAGAGGCGGGCGCCGGCCACGGCAGCTCCCGGGGGGGGGGGGGCAGGGCGGCCGTGGGAGTCAGCTGCCAGCGTGGGGCTCGGAGGGGCACCTGAGGCCCAGAGGCCTGGGAAGGAGGAGAGAGCCTGGAGGGCAGCCGTCTTCAAGATGGGCGGTCAGGCCCTGGCTGCTGTGGCTCAGTGGGTTGGGTGCCAGCCTGCAAACCTAGGGGTCACAGGTTTGGTTCCCAGTTGGGGCACCTACCTGGGTTGCAGCCCAGGTCCCCAGTGGGGGGCACATGAGATGCTGCCAGTAGACATTTCTCTTGCACCCCTTTGTTTCTCTCCTTCTTTCTCCCTTCCCCTCTAAGAGATAAGGAAAATCTTTAAAAAAAGAAAAAAAAGAGGGGAGGTCAGTGGTCAGGGCCAAGGGCAGAGAGGGGGAGCAGTTTTCCCTAAACAAAGGTCAGAGGCGCTGAGTCGGGGCTTCCTGGGGACCAGTGTTAGGGGTGCACCTGGCAGGAAACACCTGGCCCAGCGGCGGGAACAAGGGTTTGGAGTCTAGAAACCACAGGCTTATCTGAGAAAGTCTGGGCGCTGTCCAGGCTCCTGGCAGTCCCCGCGTCCCCCTACCTCCCTGCCCCCGCCCCCCCCTGTGGTGGCAGCTGGCTGAACAGCCTGAGGGAGGGGTCCGCCCCCCCAGGGTGGTCCGGGCCAGTGTGACCCCGGTGTCCCTGTGGAAGGCAGGGCCGCCCACGGGTATTGATGTTCCCTGACCTTGAGAGGTCCCTGTCGCTTCCAGCCTGGGGTTGGACAAGGGGGAGCGGATGGCAGGCGCTGGTGCTGACCCAGCACTTTCCGGGGAGGGCGCATGCTGCCTTCCACCCGCAGGGGCCTCTTCTCGGTTTCTCCGTTTGGGGGGTGTTTTGGAAGCGCCCCCCCCACCAGCCCCCCCAGGAAGGAGCTTCCCTGCTGCCCCAGTACCAGGCTGTGCACCGGGCCCGGGCAGGAGCCGCTGTCCAGGCCCCCTGCAAGCCTCCTAACAGCTCCCCAAGGGTGAGCCCGCCTCACCAGCATCCTTGCCTGGGAGGGGACAGGGACATGCCGGGACATACGGTGCCGCTGATTCAGCAGCTCCCGGCCCTGCCCCTCCCCCAGCCCCCCGCCGGGCAGCGTGCCCGGGAAGGCTGGCAGCTGTGTCACTCGGGGCCTCTGGCAGGTTGCTGTGGCTCTCGGTGTGTGGCCCACACTGAGCATGGGGGTGGCGGGCTGATGCTGGGATGGGCTGCAGTGGCCCCACAGGAGGGCATGTGTGTCCCCGGGAAGAAAGTGTGTCCTACCTCCCTTCCCCCCACCACTGGGGCCGCAGGCAGTCTCCTAGAAGCCCAGGTCCCGGGCAGAGTGCCTCCACCCAGGCCCACCCGGCCCTGGTTTTCTGCTACTCAGCAAGGACAGGCTGAAAGGGGCAGGGACTAGCCAGCTGATGTGAGTGTGGCCCCGGCCAGAGGGGGGCAGAGCATGAGCCTGGAGTCCTAGGGCCCAGGATGGGTTGGGTTTGCTCCTCACTGCAGTGGGGAGCTCACCAGGAGAAACAGCTCAGTGGACACAGGGCAGGAAGGGGCCGGAGCCCTTCCTGAGTGGGAGCTGGGGCCCTTCCCCAGTGGCATCCGTATGGATGGGATGTGGGCTCGGGACAGACACCTGGAGAAGGGGGGAGAAGTGCAGGCCTGGAGCCCAGGAGGGTGGGTGATGTGCACCCCACCCGACAGTATGTCCGTGGTCGCCTGGAGACTGCCTCAGACAGCGGCCCTGAAGCCACGGGCAAGTCCACCACGTCCACAGTTGCGGTCCCACCAGCTGCGTGCTGGCCTCACCCCTTCCCACAGGCAGCAGCACCCCACTCTGCTTTCTGGGAACATTAACTAGTCCTGGCCCAATGAATGTTTATACAGAAACCAGTCCAGCCTGGCAGTGATGTCATGGGGTCAGGAGAGGCCAGGTGGCCTTGGGAGGAGGGGTGTCCCCTGTGCTGTGGGGGCTGGACTCCACACTGGGTGGAGCAGGTGATGATACCTGGGAGCCCGAAGCAGGGGACCTGGAAGAAGTGGGCTCTCCAGAGGGGCCATCTGCTCACGCCCATAGGGAGCGGTGACCTCTGCCCTCACTGGGGTCAGGAGATGAGATGGACAGCCCGGGCCCCACGGCCACACACAGCCAGGGATGTGGGGTGGCATGGCCTGTCCTGGGGAGCCCCCACATACAGCCTGGGGTTGAGTCGCTGCCCACCCCTTGCTCCCACGCCCCCACTGGTAGGAGCTTTTTTTTTTTCTAGAGAGAAAGGGGAAAGGAGGGAAGGAGAGAGGGAGAGAAACATCAATGTGTGGTTGCCTCCCACAGGCCCCCCACTGGGGACCTGGCCCCAACCCCGGCATGCGCCCTGACTGGGAATCCAACTGGCTGCCCTTTGGTTCCCAAGCCCGTGCTCAATCCACTGAGCCACACCAGCCAGGGGTAGGAACGTCTCTGCCATTCCAACCACCCTATGCTTCAGAGGAGGGTCCAGGTGACAGTGTGTGGACCTCCAGCTCCTTCCAGCGGCACCCACGGGTGCCCTTGTTCCTTGGCACACAGCGGCCTTGGCTTCTTGCACCGACCACCCCGCTCCGGCCCTGGGGCCCTGCAGAGCCGTGCTCCATGCTTCCCACAAGACCTGGGGCTGGGGGCTCCTCCCAGGCCTGGGGTGCTGCCCACCATCCACCTGAGCAGTGTGCTTTTCAGAACTGAGGGGGGCCCCGGCCAAGTAGCTCAGTTGGTTAGAGCATCCTCCAAGATCCATAGAGGTTGTGGGTCCAATCCCAGGTCAGGGCACATACAACAATCAGCCACTGAATGCATGAATGAGTGAAGCAACAAATCAATGTTCCCCCCCCCAAGACCAATTAGAACAAAGAAAGTCACGCGAGGTCTGCCACACTCTGCCACCGCCCAGGGCGAGGGCAGCCCTCCGACAGGGCAGAGCTAGGTGTCGAGTAGTGAACTTCATTCTTTACACCAGCCCCGTGGCAGACATAGCGGTGATGTGAATTACTTGTATGTTTTCACCTTGTCCTGCAATAGCCTGTTTTCCCAGCTCCCGCCAAGCGTAAAAGGAACGCTCTTCCTCCGTGATGTTACATCTGGAGCTGATTCAGCCCAAGCTGGCTGCCCACCTGTGTCCTGCACAGGTGCCCCAGAGGCGCAGTTCCAGTGGGGGCGGTTCCACAGGACCCACCGCCCCTCTTACCGTGTGCTGGGGCACGCACACATGTGTGCATGTGTGCACATGCCCAGGTGCACATATGTTTTCCTCAGGTTCCAGTCCCAGCCTTGAGCACCTAGAGTCAGGCAGAGCAGGGTGGTGGGTGCTGGCTCCCCACCCTCAGGGCCCACTGCCCCCTCTGGGTGCTCTCAGACAGAGTGAAGGGGCCAGATTGCCCCAGGTAGACAGCCTGCGGTCAGAGCAGAGAGGCAAGGGCGCCGGCCCCTTTTCCTCGCCTGCCTCTGGGTCAGGGGGTCAGTCTCTGAGTGGACTCACATGAAGAAGGGCCTTGTTCCAGCCGCCCTGCTGCGTGGGTGTCTGCTTCTCTCCACGCCCAGCCCTTCCTGTGAGATAAGGGAGAGGAAGGGCCAGCCGGACTTGCAACCCGGAGTGGACAGGGCTCTGGGGAGCTCGGCCCAAGGCCGGTGACCCCCCAGGTGGGGTGGGTGGCCCGGGCTGAGGCTGCGCACCCTGACCTGGGGCAGAAAGGCACTCAGTGGCCCAAACCCATTCCCTGGTTTTGACCTCAGGGACACGTCCTGCAGGGTCAGCCTGTAGGAGGGGCCAGACTTTGTCTCGGAGCACCGGGCAGGCGTGCAGCTGTAGAATGAACGAATGGGCGGGCCAGTGAAAGCCCTTGTTTCCATCCGTCCTGGCTGCTGTGACAGAACCACAGCCTGGGGGACTGAGGAACAACAGACACAGACTTCCAGTCTGGGGGCTGCAAGTCCGGACTCCTGGTGCCCGCAGATCTGGTGTCTGGTGAGGCCATCTTCTCACCGTGTTCTCAGTGGGCGGTGGAAGGGGCCAGGGCTCTCTGGAGCCTCATTTGAGGGGCACTAATGCCATTCACGGGGGCTCCACCCACAGGACCTAATCACCTCCCAAAGGTCCCACCTCTTTGCCCTTCACCTTGGGGGCCAAGATTTAGCATATGAATTTGGGGGACACAGACAGTAGCATGTCCCTGGTGCCCCCAGGACCTGTCGTCGGCCCTCTGTGCTCACTTTCCAAATGGCCCTGGGAGCTGCATCTCACGGGCAGGACATCTCCCTCCAGAAGGGGTCAAGGCAGTGAGTTACCCAGGAAAGGCGGCCCCACCATTCGGGAAGTCCCTCCACTTGTCTCACCCGGGTGTCTCCAGCTGCTGTTGCTGGAGCTGCTCCTGAGCCCTGTCCGATCTCATCTCCGGGAAGCATGTGCCCAGCTGTCACCCATGCCCAGCAGAGGCACCAACTGCCCCTGAGCTGGGTGCCCACCCTGGCATGGCCCGGGGGGCACGGGACCACTGCAGCCGCCCCCGACCCTCCGCCTTTGTGAGAGGCAGCGGCAGTGGCAGCTGCTCACACAGCTGCACAAAGCGCAGGAGGGGAATTTAGGACAGAAAGGGGAGAGGACTGGCAGCTCCAGCTCGCACGGAAGAGGCGAACGCGCTGCCCTGATTCTCGCACACAGACCAAAATACTCACCCAGTTTCCTTCTGTGCACGGGGTCCTAACTCATGTGACAAGAACACGCAGCTGTCCCCCAGCCCCTGTGGCCGCCCCTCAGCTTGCCCAGTGCACAACAGATCCCTCAGGCTGTACTCACCAGTTCACCGTCCCAAAGGCCAGTCTGAAGCTGGGAGGGGTGGGAAGGTGAAACACCTGTACAGACAGGTACCCCCCCCACGCGGGGCACCTGGTGGGTGAGGGCTCTGCCCTCCATGCAGCTGTTGGGCGGAGCTGGTCTGTGAGCCCGGGTGGCGGGGCTCTCCCCGACCTGGAGCCAGCCCCGTGCTGCAGGCTCCCCTACAGTGGAGGTGGGCCCAGTACTGGAAGAGCCCAGTCCCTGTCTGGGCGCAGCTGCAGGCGATCTGGCATCAACCTCTCTGGGGAGTTGAGGGGTCTCTGCTCTCTGCGCCCACCTGTGCCTCAGTTACAGACCTGCGCAGAGGGGCAGAGGAGTACACCTGGACACGGTCCTGCCCTGGCCCGTGGGGTGCAGTGATGAGAAGGGAACATGCTCTCCCAGGGCTCTGGAGGCGAGGGGCAGAGTGGTGAGTCAAAGGCCCCGGGAGCCCACCCCGAGGGGCTAAAAGCGGGGCAGCTCTGCAGGTGGTAAACAGGCCCTGCCCTTGGGAGCCAGGTGCACTTGCTGGGCAGGAGCAGCCTGGCAGGGTGGGGGGTGGAGGAGGCAAGCTCCCCCATCGGCACAGGTGGCCCTGGGCCCTCAGCACCCCACCTCCATGTGCAGTCCAAGCCCCGGAATCCCCTCCCTGGACCCCCAGCGGGTCTAACAGGGACCTTCCTCTCCATCTAGCAGTCAGGACCTCTGCTGCAGTGACCCAAGAAGTGGGCTGGGCACAGCCCAAAGTGGTCATTTCTGACACAGCGTTGAGGGGGAGCTGCCAGGCTGGGGACAGATTGGATCTGGAGTGTGAGAAAGGCGACGAGGAGAAGCCCAAGGTGGTTGGCCGGCGCTGGAGGCTTGGAGCTTCCAGGACCAGCTGCCATCTGGGGCACAGGAGGTGGGAGGGCAGGGCCTGGGTGCAGGGAGGGGCTCTGTGTGGCCACGTCGAGTTTGCGATGGCCACCAACCACCCAGGTGGACAGGCCGAGGCAGCAGCTGGCTAAGTGAGCCTTGACAGGCCCCGGCCCTGCTCCGGATGAGCCTCAGACGGGGAAGCGAGCCTCTTCCCGGAATGGACTCGGGCCGCATGCATATCTGACCGACTGCAAAAGGGCGAGGGGCCGTGTGCCCCTGAGGTCCACACACAGAGCCCTGGCGACACAGCCACGGGGGCACACAGGAGAGCAAAAGTGGAGTAAGCAGTTTGGGTGAGTGGCTGGGGGGGAGGGTCTCAGTGAACTGGTGGGGACCCAGGAGCCCCGGAGGACGGGCTTCCTCCAGCTCCCTCCTCCATGGAAACCTTTCTCGGACAAGACGGCTCCCCACCGAGCATGTGGCCACCCGCAGGACCGCAGCAGTGGCCCCCAGCAAGGTACCCAACGCTTCCATCACCCAGGGAAGGACGGATAGGCCACCAGGCCACAGCAGAGCTCTCAGTGCACTGAGCCCCCACCCTGACACCCTGCCTTGGTGGCTCATCAATATGTCATTTATCCCTTGTGACTTCCCTGTTTCCCCAGCCAGATGCTCTCTGAATAAAGAGGGAAAATCAAGCCCCAGGCCACGAAAGCTCAGGACCCTTGTCAGCAGCTGGGGCTGCAGTGCTATCAGCCCCCTCTGGAGGGGACTGTGGCCAACGACCTGCATATCAGCCAGCAGCAGGCTGACGGTCACAACGTCTGAACAGCCTCAGGTCAAAGGAAGGGAAGGAGGTCCCCACTCTTCCTGGGCTCAAGTCTTCCCCGCTGCCGGCCCAGGAGCCCTGAGCGAGCCCCAGCTCACTGCATGTCCCGCCCCAGCCGGTCCATCCACCCGGCTGGGTGGACTGTAACAGGAATAAAAAGATCCCCGTGAAAACCGAGTTAGAGAACACGCATGGGACACGCAGGACAGGTTGGGAGCTGCACATCAGGGTGAGCGGGGGTGGGGTGGGGTGGTGCACGCACACACGACCCCACAAAATCTGCACTCTCCCCATTGTTCTCTGGGAAACAGGTTTCTGGTTACCAGTTGTCTTCTAAATACTTGACTCTTCTCCCAACGTCCTTCATTAGGGAAGAAGGAATCTCATTACTCTTCAGAAAATAAAAGTGAGGACAACCACCATGTACCAATATGTGGGCCAAGCTCCCCAGGCATGCAGGCTCCCCCAGCCACCATGCTGCCCCTGCCCCTTCACATTTCCAGACCCTGCACGGGTCCCCTGCAGTGGCCTGACCCCCAGTCTGGAAGCAGGGGGGTCCCTGCTCACAGGTGCCACCTGTAGAAGCCGATTTCCCAGGGGCGTGTGCACTACTGAGATGACAAACTGAGTGGAAGAGCGTCCGGTGTCCTGGGCTGCTGAGCTGCCCGGCCCAGGCGTGGCTCCCTCCCACCTGGTCCAGGGCCTCCACTGGCCCCCCTGCAGGGCAGGCCAGGGGGTGGGTGGCCTCCTGTCTCACCTTGTACCTCGTTGGCCAGGAAGACACACGCTACCTGACAGCGTCTGCAGCTGGGAGGGAGTCTGCCCCGAGGGCTTGGAAGTGGCAGTGGAGACTGTGGCCATGTTTAGGTTGAAGTGGGGTTCGGGAGTGTCCATAGAGTCTTTGAGGGGGGGAGGATCTGTTTATGACCAGGGTCAAGGACCTAGGATGAGCCAGGGGACAGGAATACTTGGACCAAGCTTCTGACAATTGTTTTAGGAATGACCTTGGCTAACTGTCCTGCAGGGCTTTAGCCTCTGACCCCCACGGGGCACAGAATGGGGCCTGGGAGGGTGGGCTGCCTCTTGCTCTTCAGGTAACCTCTTCTTCCCAGCGACTCCATGCTGGGGGTCACTGTCCCTGGGCGAACCCCGTTTCCCTGCAAGTGTGGGGGTGAAGGAGCCGGGCTGTCCGGGGAGGACCACCGCAGCCAGTCCTGACCCCAGGCCCCAGGGTGGGGTGGAGGCGACTGAAGTGGGAGGGGTGAAGGCGTGGTGTTTGTGGGTCCCTTCGGGTGTGCTGACGGTTTTATTTCTGCGCACTTATTTCAAAATGGCACGTCTGTTCAGTAATGAGCCAGTGCGGCCGGAGCACACTGGGCCTGAGAGCAGACCCCGCGGCGTCCCTGCAGTTCGCGGTTTTCTGCCCTGCGCAGGAGCCGCTGGCGCCCCGTGGTTCGCCCGAGGGCGCTCCCGCATTTTCGTTTTCCTGGCCGCCCTGGTGTCAGCCTCAGCGAAGGCCGCACACCCCTTCCGGCCGGCCGCCGCACTTGGCGGCGCATCCTGAAGGCTGCTCGGTGCAAACGCTGCCGCTGCAGGGAGGGGCGTTCCAGGGCCGGGCGTGGGGTGGGGGGGAGTGGCTCGGGGGCTTCCTGGGTCCGTGCCGGGGTCGGATGGCCAGAGAGTGCGAGTAGGTGCCGCTGTCCTAATCTGCCCGGCTGCCAGGCCCTCTGCCCTTCCGCATCCGGCCCCGGCCCAGTGCCCGGCGCAGGGTCGGACGCTCGGAGCTCGAGAAGGCAGCGCGCAGCAGGCGGGGGTGGCGGGGAGCTACCGCCTCCCACTGAGTCCGGGACCCCTGCGTCCGGAATCCCCCGGCTCAGCATTCCCGCCCCCTCTCCAGCATTTCCGCCTCCCTCCTCGGGACACCCCTCCCAGGAGGAGCCCACCTGGTAGTGAGTACGAGCGTGTGCGCGCGCGGCCGGCGCGCTGTCCCTTTAACCGGCCCGCCGCGCCTCCCCCGCGCGCCCCGCCCCGCGGTGCGGCCGGTGCTGGGCGAGGCCGAAGAAAGTCCATGTGAGCGGAGCGCGCGGACGCCGGAACACTTCCTGCCGCCGGCCGCCGCTGCCGCAGGCCGGACCGGGCCGGGCGCCCGCAGGTACGCCCAACTTGGTGCAGCCGCCAGGGTCGCCGCCGCACTTCCCCAAACTCCGCGGTGCCGGCCGCGCGCGCTGCCGCAGTGCCCGCCGCCGGCCCGCAGCCCAAGTTCGCGCAGCGCGCCTGCCCTGCCGAGGTGGCCGCGGGGCCCGGGGCCTGGGGAGTCGCCCCGAGCCGAGCCGCACCCCGGTCCCACCGATGGAGGGTCACGGGCAGCGTGCTCCGGGCAGACCCTAGCCCTGGGCGTCTCCCTCCCTCAGGGCTTGTCCGGACACTCCTTGCCCGCTCTCGCCTCCCCTCCCCCCCTGCGACTAGGTGGACGGAGCCCATCCCCTGGGGGTCGGGAGGCCAGGACCCGTTTGGCTCCGGGCCAGGGCTGGGTGGACGCACCCCCTCCCTCCCCCGCAGGGGTCCGAGGCCGACCGCCGGGCTGCGCATCAGTCGGGTCTTGCACCTTTCCTTTCGGGTCCTGTGGGCGCCTTCATGGGTATCGCTGCTTCGGTTCACTTGTACGGACCCCAGTCTGGGCAGGGAAGATGTTAGTCCCCCCAGCCTCGGGAGGACCTGGGCGCGGGCTGAGCTGCGTCGGGAGGGGCTTCCACCTGCCATCCGCAACCGGTCTTTGCGCGAGGAGGTTTTGCGGCCCAGGCCCCCTCTTCAGGAAGCTCTGAGGTGAGCTCAGAGCTTGCTGCTCACACTTCTCGGTCAGGCCAGGGGCCCTAAGCCGCTTCACTGGTGTGGGACTCGTGAGGTCAGAGGTCACCTCCAGGTTCTGTCCGGCCTGAGCTCCTCAGAAGTTCTGTCTGGCCAGCTCTCTCTGCTGCCCTGTAAACCTGTGGCTGTGCAGGGGGTCAGTCCCCTGGAGCTGGCCATTCCCACAGCCCCCAGGTCCTCCCCCCACCCCACCCCATTACCGTCTGCATCTTTGGGCGTGAGATCTGAAATGTTTGTGCCCACACGGGCATTTGGCGCCTCTTTTCTAGTGGCGTTTCTTGGGACTTATTGGGACCCAGCAGTGCCTCCTCAGGCACAGGCACGCTGTAGCCGAGTCCATCCTGTGTGTGGCTGGGAAGGGGGCTGGCCAGGGGGGCTGGAGCCAACGGAGGAGGCGCGGGGCAGCACGCTTCCTGCCCTCCCCCAACTCACCGCCCTGAGCACCTTGGAGCACACCCTGTGCCCCACCCCCTCCGCATGCCCCCTCCTGCTTCCTGTGCCTGCCCGCCTGTGTGGTCTGCAGTGGTCTCTCCCCAGGTCTCCCTCCCCACCCCCTTCTGTTTGCCCAGAGGCTCACAGAGGGACTGCAGGGCCTGCTCCTGTGCCGGGCGTCAGTAAGAGTCAGCAGGACTCGGGAGAGGCAGCTTCCCATGTTGGCTCCATTTCACAGATGAGTAAACCACGTCCCAGGCAGCCCACACCCTCCCATCTTCCAGCAGACCACCTTCCCCCTTCCCGTGGCCCACCGAGCCGCTCTTGGGTGCCCCCCTGGCCTGTTGGCATTTCCCCGGGGGGCATTCCGCTGTTGGTTGGCGCCTCGGCTGCAGCCTGAGCTGACGAAATAGAAGACAAGACCCGAGGGGTTGGCACCCTGCTGTCTCCGTGAGGCGGCTGGAAGGATCACAGAAGTAGAACCAGATACTACAGTCACAGTGCAGTGGCCAGAGATCTGTTGTCAGTGGTCACACCCAGGGAGGGCATGGTGCTGGACGTGGTGTTTGATACCGAGCCACCGCGCCGCTCTGTGCACCCTCACCCGGGCAGCCGCCCAGGGTCTCCTGCGGGATATGTGAGGAGGGGGCAGCGTCGAATGGTGGCTGGTGTTGAAACGCTAGCCTGCTGCCTGTCTGTGCCGGGGCCGCCCAGGTTCTTGGCTATGGACGTGTGCTTACTGAGAGGGGCCCTCTCTGGCCAGTGGCCCGGGGGTGACTTTGTACAGAATCCTTCAAACCTTTCCGTTTTTCAACCAAGACAAGAGTATACATTGTTCACGTGAGAGGTGAAGACGGTGGCCTCCGAAACCTGGCTCCCCTGGGACCTGTACCTCTGGGGTCCCGCTCGCCACGGCTGTGTCATGGGCTGGGGTGGGCCCAGGGTCCCTCCTGGGGCAGAGGTAAGCACCATGGCGTCCACCCCTCCAAGGATGTTCCCCGCCACACTCTGCACCTCCTCCCCGGAGGCCCGTGCTCTCTGGAGTGCAGAGTGGGGGTCGGCGCCCAGGACTGGACCCCTGCAGCCCGGGCCTCCCCCCCCCCCCCCCGCCAGTAAGTCCTACGCAGTCTCCTGGCAGCCCTCCTGCTTCCCAAATACTGCCCTTTGGGCTTTAGGGGTCAGAGGAGCGGCCCCGGATGGGGGGCAGTCTGGGGAGGGTCAGCTCAGCTCCCCGAGCCCCCCAGATCAGGCCCCTGTGCCCGCGCTCTCCGGCACGTTTCTCCTGAGAACCAGAGGCTTTGCAGCGGCAGTGGGCAGAGGTGGCAGTGTTAGCTGGCCCGGCTCATTCCTGTGGCCAGTGTCCCCAGGGGCTGGCTTCCAGGCCTGGTCTTTGAGGGGGAGCAAAACCCCGTGGTGCCGTCGTGTGTGTGCGTGGGGGGGGGTATCCCAGGGCAGGAACGGGCCCCTAGCTCGCCAACCCGGAGATACCCCTGCAGAGCCCATGCTTGTAAAGTCCTGGCGGGCCGTGGGCCTGAGGGGGGCTGGCGAGGGGTGGCAGGTCCCGGTCGGAGCTGACCCGCTCGGGCCTCTCACACCCCAGCCTGGGCGCCGTCTGGGAGCCAGGCCCTCCCCTCGTTCCAGTGTGACATTCTAGTGTGGCGTGCTTTTCCTGGCATCCCCTCCCCTCCCCCAGGTGAGCAGCCTGGCCTTCGGCACTTGTGCAGCCCCCTGCCCCACCAGGGAGGAGGACTGTGCCTGTCCCGTCCCACCCACCTGGTTTTTTCTCCCCTTCTGTGTTCCGGGGCCCTGGCGAGCCGTCAAGGGTGTGCCCGGAGGGAGGCCGAGCTGCTCCCCCGAGGGTGGGGGGGACGCCCCTGGTGCTGCTCACCTCTGGGCAGGGAGCGCCTGTCTAGGCGGCCTGTGTCTCTGTTGGCCGGCCAGTCCTCACTCTCCCCGGCCTGGCCCTGGATGAGATCACTCGCAAATCTGCTGGGGCTGCCCCAGGTTCCCTCACTGTCACCTGCAGCTGCTGGCCCACAGGGAGCTGAGCTTCCTCCTTTGAGGCCTAGCCTTTGTCTTTAACGTTCAGGTTTGGGAACCCAGTGGGGGCCCTGTGGGCTAGGGTCTCCGCAGGGTGGGACGGGGTGGACACACAGTGGTCTGGAAGTGACTGGACATGCACTGCAGAGCACAGCTCCCTGGCGGCCTGGGGTCGGTGTCCTCAGAGCAGAGGTGGTACCCACGACGAGCTGCGGGCACCATCACTCCCTAGGACCTGGAGCACGCTGCGCAAAGACAACCAAGAGGGCAGCTGGGCTCTCTGGGGACTGCCCTGCCCCCAGCTGCTGCTGCTGGACACGGGCCCAGCCAGCAGCAAGGAGGCAGCTCAGACGGGGAGCTCTGCCATCTCTCCCAGGTCACATCTGGCCCAAGGCTGTGTGAGCTTGGGTGGGTAACTCGCCCTCTCTGAGCCCTGCCCTGTGCGCCTTGATGCTACTTGGTAGAGGGTGATGGTGAGCAGGCCTAGGCTGGGGCCTCTGTATAGGATGGGTTTGGCCTGTAGGCCTTCTCCAGATGCCTCCTACCAGGAAGGGGGCAGGAGCCAGTGAGGGGCGCAGGCCCCTTTAAGGGGTGGCGCTTCTCTGTCTCCAGGAAGGATGGAAGCATACTTTTCTCTGAGATGGCTTCTCTGGCCCCATGGGTCTCTCTGAAGGAATCCCGCCCCTCCCCCGTGGCCCTGGGCCCTGGTATCCAGGAGGGCACATGGCCATGGATGGGCCGGGAGCTCCTGGGCCCCGCCCAGGCCTGCCCAGTGCCTGGAAAGCAGGCAGGGCTGGGGGCGGGGACCAAAGGGGCCTGAAAGTGCCCATATATAGTCACTGGGGTGAGCAGTGAGCCTTGCTGTGTCTGCGCCCAGCCACTGGGTCCCTCGGGGCAGCCTGGACCTGAGAGGGTGCTACTGGGGGAAGCTGGATCTGGGGCGAAAGCTCAGACAGCAGCAGGCATGGGCTTGGTGCACCTGGAGTGTTTGTTGATTGAAAATAAAAATCTAGGCTTTTGGTAGTCAAGGCTAAGTGTACATCTGGAGACAGTGCCTTTGGAAATTGGAGGCCGTAATATGGTCCAGAGCCCTCGGGGGGCCCTCCTTGAGGATGCCTGCCTGTCTACAGGCCCAGCCCTTGCCCCACAAAATGCCCCCCTCATTATGGGGGCACCCCTAGATGCCCCGGGCCCACCCCTGCAGTTAGGAGGGGGATTCTGCCCCACGGCTGGTATTTTCTGGAATCTGCCAGTGGGGAGGAGGGTGGGGGCTGCTGGTTGTTTGGAGAAAGCCCCTTGCACTCCAAGAGCAAAAAGAAGTGGTTCTGGGTCGTTTGTCCACCCTGGTCCTGGACTGCACCTGTGCAGGACGGTGTCCTCGTCTGTCCCTGCCCCTGCCCCTGCCCCTGTGCCAGGAGGGCAGAAGTGACTGCCTTTGCTGCACCGGACTTCGGTGCTGTTAGAAAAGCGCAACATTAACGTGGTTTTGCTCGTTTAATTGAGCTTCCATTGCAGCTCGAAGGCCTTTGTTACATTCCGTAAGTTGATACTTTTTGTTGTTGTCAGCAGTTTCTTCTTCCTTTTTTTGGGATATAAAGCCATTAGGGTGAGAGAAGATTAAAAAGATACATTACAATTAAAATGTTAATGAAATCTGCATCATACAACTTTCCAAACCCTTCAGGCATTAATCTTGCCTGTGTCATGTCCATTAACTTCGGCTATTCTTATTCCACACTGACCCCTGCTGAGAGATTTGTGCTATAATTGGATTTTTTTTTAAATAAAAAAGAAAACGCTTTTAAGAAAATAGAG